TACCCGGATTCTCTGTCACGGTCTGTGATGCGTACCCGGATTCTCTGGCACGGTCTGTGATGGGTAATTAGTTAATTATATAGTTATTAATTAGTTAATTAATAATTATATAGTTATTAATTATTTAATTAATAATTATATAATTATTAATTAAATAATTAATAATTATATAGTAATAATTAGTTATTTAAGATATGAATTTTCTCTGTCACGGTCTGTGGGGGGGGGGGGGTGCAAAATTTCTACCCTATACACTTCAACACTCCTTTCAGATCGTGTTTCACAAAAATTTATTAGAAATCTTTTAGATTTTCTTGTGCATTATCATTTTCAACATAACGAGATTTTTAACATACATCATGGAACTATTGAAATTATTATACAATCTTGAAAAGGCAGCGTTTCTTATATGATGTTAGAAAATCGAGTGTTCAGACAATTTTGTCCTCGATAACATTATGAATGGAGAAAAATATTTTATTATGCTTTAAGGACACCTGACCTCTTTCCCGGTCCTAAAAATTCATATTTTTTCGATCTTGATTTTTTTTTACATCTAAACAAATATTCAAGTGTTCTCTGTCGAATGGTATTTCAATGAAAAGTTTTCATGTATATTTAAATCCTTAAAAAAACCCAACCTTAGATATCTTCCATACAAAAAATCACGGTCTACAGTTCTATCGTTTTATCAATGATCTATGCTAATATACTTAGGGCAATCCAAAAGTAGTGTGACCAAGGTCTTATTTCCTTATAGTAAGCAAAAAAATTGTCTTTTTTTTATGAATAGATAGAGCGTCTTTCGATCTATCTTTCTATGCTATTTGATTGATCTTCACTTAATATTAGAATAAAAAAAACCTTCGTAAGAACTGTTTTTGTTGGAAGCTGGCTGGTTGTATTACATTATATCTCCATTTTTCCATGCTTTTTTTTCGTTCTTTCCTTCTTTTTCTGGTCTTGCCATGTAACTAACCGCGCAGAAATTTCAGTGTGCAAAATGTGATAATGATGCAAAATAAAAAGAAAAACAGAAAGAAATTCAACTAATGTCTATTTCATCAAATGTTTAAAATAATCGCCTTCATTATCCACACACAACTGCATTCTTTGAATCCATTTATCGAAAGTTTTTTATATTCTGCTTTGCTCAGGCAGTACAAACTCCGTCACAGCATTACGTAATGATTCTAAATCGTTTTGATCTACCAGATTTTCGTTGATTAAGTCGAATAACCAAAAGTCACATGGTGCTAGATCTGGAGAATTAAGTGGGTTGTGGCATTATTGTAATGCCTTCCGATTCAAGATAACTGGTCACGTCTTTATGAACACGTGACCTTCCGTTATCACGATGAATTATAATACCAAGAGTGTCAGAGGACGGTCTTTAACATTTGATTTCATCGATGAGAGGTCGCAAATAATTGTTGATATAATAATGCTGATCAATTATTTGTCCCTTTCCCATATGATGAATAAGGACAGGACCATTTGACTTCAAGAAAATGGACAATAATATTTTTTGGAGCAAACTTACTACGTCGAATCACAGTAGGTGGAGAATCTCTTCTTGCCATTCACGCAGTGCTTGATGACTTTCGACCAATCGGTTGATGATAAAACTATGACTCGTCACCAGTTATTACATCACATAAACGCTATGTTCCTTTTTGGAATTTTGTTAAATTTTCCTTGCATATTCGAACCCGCTCTAACCGTTGAAAATCATTCAGATCCTTGGGTATATAACGAGCGGTAAGCTGGGTATGGATGTGGGTGTGGGTGTTAACAAAAACAGTTCTTACGAAGGCTTTTTTATTCTAATATTGAGTGAAAATCGATCGAATAGCATAGAAAGATAGAGCGAAAGACGCTCTATCTATTCATAAAAAAAGAAAATTTTTTTTGCTTACTGTAAGGAGATAAGACCTTGCCGAAACTACTTTTGGATTGCCCTAAGTATTATGAATATGAAGGTGATTATATATTCATTTGAAGAGAATAAGCATTTATATATATAAATGTTTTAAACTATTATTTCCTTTGAAATCAAAGGTAAGAGAAAAACTAATTAGTAAATATTGTAGAGTAAATTCTACTTAATCTATTCGA